TAAGATACTAAATTGAAAATTCAAAAATCTAAATAAGTGTCACATACTGGGGAGGGTGAAAACGTCTCTATTTTTTTTTACTCGTCAGGTTTTTGTGAAACATACGCAAATCAAAAAATGTTCAAAGTCAATTTTCTCGTAAACGGTACGCTGCATCGAATTGAACCAAGAGTACCTTTTCTGTGTAAAAAACAGTAAACTTTCTGAATTTTCAATCAGAATTGCAAAAACCTGAATAGTAAAAAAAATAGGGATGTTTTAACCCTCACCCTCCCCAGTATGTGACGCCACTGATTAAGATTTTTGAATTTTCAATTTAGTATTTTAATTGCCATCAAATGTTTATAAAATACACCAATTTTCAAAATCCATTTGTGAAGGGTTTCAAAGTTATAGAGAAAAATACGTCTTTCAGGTGTCCTATTTGAAGGGGCGTAACTCCCTTAGGAAGCATTTCCGGACCCATGTTAATAGGAACTTTTTGTCTTATTTTTATGCAAGGAATACGCCCCCGAAAGGTTGCCGCTTACTTTTGAATCACCCTGTATATGTAATGTTGTTTTAAAAATTTGGAAATGACACTTTACCTGGGTCACTTCCCTCTTCGATTTCCCTCACCGATTTCCCTATTCGACTTCCCTCACCGATTTCCCTCACTCTAATTTATTTACCTTTGCTGGCAACAATGAAAACATGTTAGGTAAAAACGTCAAAGCAGCGAATGACACATTTTGGTATGTTTGTTTTATTTTTTTAATATTAAAAAAAATGATCGAATAATCATAATTAATGGTGTGCTTGCAAATAAAATAGTATACAAACATCGGAGGGAAGTTTTCATTTCTGTCTCAAGATTAATAGTCAATCTCGACGCTTCGCGTCTCGATTGACTATATAAATCTCTCGGCAGTAACGAAACACTTCCCTACTCGGTATGTAATATAATATTTTTTACTCGTATGTTTGTCGCACGTCACATTCGTGAAAAAAAGTTCACTTCACACACTTGTTACATAAATAGGTAGCTATTTAATAAAACATAATTTTTAAATAATCCAATTCTAACAAAAACTTGCCTGTATTTCCGAAACCTTACTATTTAGGTATAGGAACATGATACATCATTGGTAAGGGATTTCAATTGCCTTTTATAATATTTCATAATATACAGGGTGTTCTATTTAAAAAAGTGCACTTTTCATCTTTTTTGTACCTGGCAGCACAATTACTAATTTTCACCAACCCTGTATAATGTATATAGAACAAATTTTCTTGCTCAAAAGTAATATGCAGGATCTCCCTTAGTTATCTTCGAAATTTAAACTTTCTACGAATCTCAGGGACGTAGTAATAGAAATTTAACTAGAGCTATGTTTTAAAGAAAAAATAAAGAAATTAATAAGTCGAAAATCACTAGAGATAGGTATAGGACAGTATTATATGATCAGAACCAAAGAATTCAGAACGTAATAGCGGAGTGTAAAATGTAATAATATACTTACTGGGTGTCTCATTTAAAATATCAAAGTTTATATTACTTTTTGGTAGGTATAAGCGGCAACGTCGCATCGTTGAAATTATTTTAGAATGATAAATCAGGAGCAATTACTTGGGCATGCAAATTTTCAAAAACATCCAATATTCCCTTTTTCCATAAGCGTCTAACCTACCATCGACCATCAATCACCCTGCATTCCACCCTCCCAAACTTAAAGCCTCATTACATCTGTGTATTTTTTCGTGTATTTCTACATGAAGAAATACACGAATGTAAAGCTGAAATATTAGCGGTGTCAAATCAAATCAATCAAATAATGCTTTATTGTTATGAAACATGAAATGTTGTTAACAAAGCTCTTATAAATAGAATAAAATAGAATAAAATAAAAAATCAAAGAGAAAAAAATATATATATAAATACAAAAAGTATAAACCAAATCAGTAAAATAAAATTAATGAACATATGACTACAAATTATAAGATAATTATAACATAATTCAGAACTAAAATGTCTCAATACTATAAGATAGGTAATTAAAAATACTGAAAAGAAAATGAATACAAATTTTGTTGAAATCATTGGTTAAAATATAAAAAATAAAACAGGTTATAAAAGCACTTACACAAAGCTTAGATTAACAAAAAAAATAAAAAGAACAAATGGAGCAACAGAGTGGAATAACAAACAAATTAAAAGTCACAAAAGCAAGTCTTGCTGAATTGTACAAACAAACAGATCAAAATGTCTCGTGGTAAAATTCGTCCACCGAATAATATGCCTTAGATTGGAAAAGCCTTTTCACTGCCACCCTGAATTTTTTTAAACAGTTTGGGCTCTTTAAATTCATAGGCAAGTGATTATACAACTTTAAACCCCCATACACTATTGACTGTTTGGTGAGCGTGGATCTTGGTATAGGCAGGCGCAATTCATTGCCACGCCGGGTATTGTGAACATTTTCATTTGAAACATCAGCATACTTCCTATGTATTAGGGTAACTGTTTCCAATATAAAAAGACATGCTACAGTCAGTATCCCTTCCCTTCTGAAATGTTCCCTACAATGTTCCCTAAAATTTAAACCACAAAGATACCTGAGTGCTCTCTTCTGAAGTACAAATGCTGACTGCACAAGTTGTTTGTTAGCAAATCCCCAGAATGGAATTCCGTATCTTATATTTGACTCAATTACGGAAAAGTACAATGATCTTGCCATGGAATGATTCACCTGTTTGCTTATCACCCTTATAACAACCTGCAGACAGCCTTTTATTAAGTGCAGTTATGTGATCAGAAAAATTGAGTCTCGAGTCAATAGTAATTCCCAGAAATTTCGTACATGATTTATTAACAATTGTGTCACTCTGCATTGCCACATCATCAACACTACACCTAAACGACATTATATTTGTTTTTTTTATATTAAATGTCAAGCAATTTGTATCACACCACTCTTTCACCTTCATGATATCATTCTGGATTTTATTTTGCAAGATCTCTGGGTCATGTTCAATCCATAAAATAGTGGTGTCATCAGCAAATAAGGTCAACTTTCCATCAATATCCACGTGAGTCAGGTCATTTATGTACAGAAGGAAGAGTAGGGGTCCCAATACTGAACCTTGGGGCACTCCGTGAGGATTAATAAGAGCCACTGAGTTTTTATCCTGACACCTGACAATCTGCTCCCTATTGTTAAGGAATGATTCAAGCCAACCAAGCGCCACCCCTCTAAAGCCGTAATGGTAAACCTTCCCCAGCAGTAGTTCGCGATTAACACAGTCGAATGCTTTCGAGAAATCGCAAAAGACTGCTGCAGCAACATCACCACTATTCAGACCCAGAAAGAGTGACTCCAGAAAATTAAAAATCGCATCACATGTATTCAGTTTAGCTTGGAACCCAAATTGGCAATCATTAAGTATTTTATGTCTGTTTAAAAATGCGATCATCCTGGATTTAACCAGTTTCTCTAATATTTTAGATAGGGACGGGAGCAGAGATATAGGGCGATAGCATGAGGGATCCTCGGCATCACCACCTTTAAAGATAGGTCTGATAATGCTTGTCCTCAAAGAAGTTGGAAAAACTCCAGTGTCAAACGAAGCAATTTATGGCGTTATCTGGCATGCATTCAAATATTTTTAAAGACATTTCATCGATGCCAGCAGAATTTTTATTTTTTATTTCTCGGAATGTTGCTTTTAATTCTATTGGATCGGTATGATAAAGTCGAAAAGTTTCCAAAACAGAATGTTTTAGAAAATGATAAGGACTCACATCATCCATTAGGCCTTGTGCCACATTGCAGTAATATTTATTTGATATATTTGGCTCAATATCCACATGATTTGAACGCGAAGAGGAAGTTCCCGTGAGTTCATGAATAATTTTCCACACTTCTCTAGGTCTATTTGATGCTTCATTCAACCTACCTTCATAATGAATTCGTTTGGCCTCTTTAATAATTTGTCTGTAAATCGTTCTGTATCTGTTAAAATAACTGCTCACGAAGGCATTGAATGGAGCAAACTTTCTCAGTGTATGAAGAAATCTTAAGTTTCTAGATGATGTTCTAATTCCTCTTGTAATCCAAGGTTTTTTATTTTTATACTTTATCTTTCTTAGAGGGAAAGCTTCCTCAAATAGTTCTATTAGGCTTTATCTAGAGGATCAGAACCATCCAGGATAGAATTCCATTTGAAAGCAGCAGCCGATGAAATAAACGTTTTAAAATTTCTTGTGCTGTAAGTTCGGCCACATTTAACAGTTTTTGATTTTTTGTGCTTTAGTGAAATGCTAGCCAAAATGGCTTCATGATCTGAGAGACCAGAGGGTATTACAGCAACATCAAAGTCAATGTTATTCATAAAATTAACACAGAAATAATGTATTTGAAACTTTTGACAGCCGCTCACGTAAAAAAAATCATTAATTTATACATACATGTAGAAATACACGAAAAAATACACAGATGTAATGCGGGCTTTACAGATACAGATATGAGTCACAGTGAACAGGAATATGGCAAATAAATCCTTTTTTTAGTTCCCGCGACTTGCTGCTGTGAAAAAATAAAAATGCTCAGATTATATATAGGTAGCCGTTTTTTTTTATTTCCTTGCTAAACTAAACTCAAAATGTCCTAAAACAAATTCGTATTTTAGCTTAAAAAGAAATTTGCCCTGAATAAATGAGGCCCAAATTAAACCTAAAACCGAATATTCTACAATTTCTAGCTCTGTTCGAATTAAAATTCTCAATGACATAAATTAATAAACATTATAAAGCATTGCCTTCTTGATATGAGCCGTCATTAAATAAATAAATAGAAATATTGAAGGGTCAGTCTCCCGATGGGTTAACGTTTAATACGTTTTGTTTCTCGTCCAACTATTTCCAGTTTAGAACGAAACTGGATTTCCACAAATAAATAAATAAATTAATAAGGCACAATCATAAAACTAAAATCTAAAAGTTCACAGTCTTTATAAAATCATCATGGAAAAGCCTCTAAGGCTTCTTCCAAAACAAGTTGCTGTCCTCCGGGATAGTTAACTGGAACCATTACAAGCACTTGCTCACTAGATGGGACCGCAGGCACTCTAGTACCCCCAATAGTCGTTACAATATTACCAATAAATGGCACTCGTTGCCCCAATTGCTGCATCCATTGCTGGAAACCGTTACCAACATTCTGGGTAAACTGCGACACGCCACTACCAACATTCTGAGTAAACTGAGACACGCCATTTCCAACATTTTGGGTGAATTGTTGCACGTTACTTGTGGCTTGGTTGATGCCGTTGCCGATGTTCTGGAAAACGTCTGGAACGTTGACTTCCACTGGGAGCCAAGGAGTTTGTTGGATCCAGTTTCCTAGAAACTGAAACGGGCCTCTGACAAAGGGTTGCTGGATTTGGGGTTGTTGCTTGAAACTGGGTGGGTTGTACTGGTTGTAGAAGAATTGTGGTGGTGGGTTGACGGCGGCGACAGGAACTTGGATGAACCTGAAAACAAAAACGAATGTTAGGAAAGCTATTGTTATCCATTAAATGAAGGCAATAAGGTTTCACTATCTTATTTAAAATTTTTCGATGGGTCATTATATCGTGTTTCCGATTGGAAACCCGTCATGGTATAGTGAGCATCAAATTGATATGGAAAATGACTAATTGATAAAAAATAAAGCATATTTTCAAAATATGGAATCGATACACCAATTATATTTTCGATTCAGAAACTTGTATTTTGAAAAACATTTATTTTATTGATTAAAATAAAAGTTTCTGGAACGAAAATATAATTGGCGCAGTCGGTAGGATGCTCAGAGTGCATAAGTTTCGGGAGAGTTGTAACAGTCGCGAAAATTTCAAAAGACTGAAGGAATTTCGGAAAAGTGAATTCTTCGGAAAAGTGAAATTTGAATTATCAGTGCTGCTATTAAACGTTCCAGATAATGTCCACTTCGAATTGGTTAACTGAGTACAAGGAATAACAAGAAACAACGTGTGTAGAAAGACTACTGTTATTAGCATTGCCTAGTAAGTCCATCCTTTCTCTTTATACATTTTGTAATTGGTGTTGCATAGTTAAGATTTTTGGATTTTTGATCTTTTGTAATTTCTAATTTTTGATTTACTGAGAAGACTTAAATTCAGATTTTTGTTCTTTTGCAATTCCAAAATGGTTTGCTGAAAAGACTGCAATCAAAAATAAAGAGTAACAAAGAATTTACGAACCCACGACAACAAATACTTTTGATTAATTGATTATAATTTTAATTTTAAAAATAGAAATAAAACTTTTTGATTTTGAATTTTTAAATTTTCAAAATAATTTCTTCTAACAATTCAAAGAAATATATATGTCAGATTCTGAAGAAGAAATCGAGAATCTTTTAACTCAATTTAATTTGACTCATCTTTACAATGGGCTCTTTCACTAAAATTTAAATACGTAATTAAGGTATAAAATCCCAAAGGAGGGACTATTTTAGGCACATATACCAAAAAAAAATGTTCTACAAGGTTAAATAAGTTTTTTACAAGCATTTTAAACTACCAAAATTTGAATTATTTAAAAACGCGCCGATTTGCTGACGTCGCATAAATATTTTTCATTTCGCTTGTTGTTGCAAACAGCTGTCCGCCTCTGCTGTATTTATCCTGTAGTAAATGCAGGTAAAGGTTCGAATGCGCTGTTGTCGGTGGTGACTAAATGTAGTGCAACGTAAAATAAATAAATAAAACTAAACATAGAAAATTATATTAAATTGTGTTTAAGCATAATTTCAATAAAAATGTTATAAAATCTTGAATCCATAACTAATTAATTTAACTACTTTTCATGATATTTTGGGAACATTTCAGAATTAAATCTATTACAAATTTTCAATGTTGACAATTAGTGGCAACACGGTCAAATAGCGAGCTGCGACGTCATAGAAATAAATTCTGGGTTTTTATTTGGAGGTATTTCTTTTTTTTCTGTTTTCTCAAGAAGGACTATGAATTTTTCAAAAGTAAAAATACAGAAAATTCTGTTTTTAGTTGCTTTATCCAAATATGCCAATTTCAAAAATTAGTGAAAGAGCCCATTCTAATTCGAGAAGTAACAACCAAAATCAAAGACCAACCGTTACAATGAGTGAAAATTTAAAATCAATCGTTCAACTAATCAAACCTTTCAGTGGCGAAAGCCAATATTTAGAATATTTCATAAGAAACATCAATGAATTCTATCAAACCTATTATACTGGTGAAAATGCCCAGAAAGAGTATGTGGTTACCGCCATAAAACCAAAATTGATAAATGACGCAGGAAATTTTCTTATGGCACGTCTTGATTTACAAACATAGACCGATATAAGAGAAGCATTGAGAATTAAGTATGGTGATCAATATTCTAGAAAGAATTTGGTACAAGAGCTTATGTATACCACTAAAACTAATAAAGAAACTATTATTGAGTATTTGGATAAACTAAAAGGTTTAGTTCAAAGAATTACATCTAAAATCATGTGCGACCCAAATTTAACGGTAGTTGCAAATGTCTTGATTGAAGAAAACGAAATTATTGCTATTCAAAATCTAGTCACTAATTCGCCAACCGAATTAAGAACAATTTTAATGGTTCAAAATCCACAAACGATGGATGTTAAATGTGTTAAATTATCAACTAGCTGAAAACCAGATGAAATTTAGTAGAGGACTTCACTCATTCTACTAATCAAAATCAAAATCAAAATTTTTCAAATTTCAAAAATAGAAATACACAATTTCGTTCACAACAAACCTATACTCAACATAAACCTCAATATACACAAAAAACATCGTATGTACCACAGAAACCACAGTTTCCATCCCAACCTATTAATATACAACCTAAAAAGGACTATGTACCAACAAAATGTCCTACTAGTTCAGGAACTTTTGGCAAAAACTACAATAATGCCGGAGTTTCAGTGCAACCAAGAGCACAAAATCAACATCAATACCCTTCCAAATATACAATCGAAGAAATTAATAATATCTTTGAAATCGAATTGCCTGACCCTGACGAAAATTTCAAAAATGACGAATGTTCTGAAAATCAAAACTATTATGAAGAGACAAATTTGGAAAAAAATCAAGTCGCAACTGAAGATGAAAATTTTCAGTTACAAGCCTTGGATGCAATGAGTCAGCATTAACTTTAAATGCTTATCAAATCAACCAACTGCCTTTTATTCAAATAGACTATCCACCGTGTAAATTATTATTTGACACAGGAAGTCATGCCTCTTTAATAAGACCCTCAATCGCAGAAGAATATTTTTCAAATTCTATAATTAATTCACGAAACAAGTTAACTACTTGCATGGGTACAAGAAAAACACATGGAAAAATTAATGTCCCAATTTTACAAGAATATAATATTCAAAACAACATTGAAATGATAATGTATAATTTCCATGACTATTTTGATGGAATTATTGGAATTAAAGCATCACGAGAAAATAATTTAAATATAGATTTTTCTAATATTCTTCTTTCTAATAATAAAACAACAATTCCGTTTCAATATAGAACAGATTTCGAAAATCAAAATTTTGAGATTCCAAGCAACTCAATTCAAGTATGTTATTTCAATACAAATATAGCTGATGGCATTGAAATACTTACACCACCGATAAAAAATGAAACGTATTATATTCCTTCGACAATAGCCACAGTTATAAACGAGACAGTAGCTCTAGAAGTGCATAACTTAATGAATAAGCCTATTATTGTCCCGTATAACATAAACAACTTAGCGGAAATAAGTTTACCTTATGCTGACGAACAGTTCAAGATATTTAATATAGAGCAAATGACTTTATTAGAAAATGATGAATATGCAAATGACCCTATTAAGTCGCTGCGTATTAATCATTTAAACTCAGAGGAATTTGACGCTTTAAAACACGTAATTAAATATTTTCCTGAAATTTTCCACAAGCCAAATGAAAAATTGACATTTATCAATCAAGTCAAACATGAGATTAAAACAACAGATGAAATAACAGTGCACACGAAAACGTATAGTTACCCACATGTGCATAAACAAGAAGTAAATTCTCAAATAAAGAAAATGTTAGAAGATAACATAATCAGACCATCCTGAAGCCCTTGGTCATCCCCTGTGTAGATAGTACCTAAGAAAGAAGATGCCGCAGGCATACAAAAATGGAGAATGGTCGTTGATTATCGAAAGATAAACGAAAAAATTATTGATGATAGATATCCATTACCTAATATTACGGATATATTAGACCGACTTGGTCGTAGTAATTATTTTACGACACTAGATCTAGCCTCTGGCTTTCATCAAGTCAAGATGCATGAAAATTCGATACCCAAAACAGCATTTAATGTTGAAAATGGTCATTAAGAATTTAACAGAATGCCCTTTGGTTTGAAAAACGCCCCCGCGACATTCCAGAGAGTGATGGATAATGTATTACTAGGATTACAGAATAGAATATGTCTAGTATACATGGATGATATAATCATTTTTTCCACTTCGCTTCATGAACACGTGAAAAATTTTAAAAAAGTATTTGAGAGACTCGAGAAGTTTAATTTAAAAATACAATTAGACAAATCAGAATTCCTACACAAGACAGTCGAATTCTTAGGACACGTAATTACACAAAATGGAATAAAACCGAATCCAAAAAAGATAATGGCAATAAAAAAATTCCCAATACCAAAGACGGTGAAGGAAATAAAATCATTTTTAGGATTAGTAGGTTATTACCGAAAATTCATAAAGAATTTTGCCAAATTGACTAAACCAATGACATCTTGTTTGAAATAAAGACAAAAAAATAATACACAATGCAGAATTTCTTAATAGCTTTGAAACTTGTAAAAATGTATTAATAAATGACCTAATACTACAACATCCTGACTTTAGGAAACCTTTCTTATTGGCAACCGATGCCTCAAACTATGCAATCAGGGACGCAAGTATGGGGGGGAATGGGTGGGAGGACGTTTCCCCCCAACCAGTTCAACCAGTTGGGATATCGGTTACAAAGTTGGGAGAATCGGTACACTTTAAAACATAAAGATTCACAGGGAAAATGAAAAAATATTCCAAAAAATGATAAAAATATTAAAAACAGCTTGAAAAACGCTACTTGGCAGGGGCGCAGCCACGGGAGGGGTTTTGAGGGTTAAAGAAAGTATAATAAGAAACCACTTCTGGAAATTATTAGAAATTAAAAATTATAATACAAATACAACAATCTCAAAAAAATAGATGCTTTTGACTTTTATTTTTTTAGTAAACATGGTTGATTTTACCAGTAGCGTTCCCAAAGGGGAGCGAGGGGTCCGTGCGTCTCCCGAATTGACTCACTTACAGCGAATTTTCCTACCTAAAATGTGAAATCATGAAGGACATATTGGGACATTACTGAAAGCTCTAGCAATAGGCTCGTTCAGTGAAGTTTCATTAACCACGTTTTTTCATATTTTTA